ACATCCCAGCCCTTCTTTATTTTGTATTTTGAGGCGGGGGCCCATGAAGCTGCCCAGGCTGGCCTCGAGCTTACACTCCTCCTGCCTCAGCCTCCCAGGAGCTGGGACCACAGACCAGGGCTGCCATGAGCTGCCAAGTGCTTTCTGTCAGGGTTTCTGTGGCCTTGCACAGGGCCGCGGTCGTGGCAGAGTCCGGGTGACAGTCCTTGTTAGCAGGCTCAGGTGTGTCAGGCCGACCCCCTCCTTCATGACCTCACAGGTCGGTCTGTTGTCACCAGGGCTGTGCACAAGTGGCTCTGTTTTGATTTGGCAGCTTTCAGTTCCACACGGGTGGAGGCGAGCAGGCGAAGGCAGCCTGGAGCCTGGCAGGTCTCGGGGCTGAGCAAACCACAGCAGAGGGTGGGCGGCCGGCCCTCCCGGGTCCGCAGGCAGTTGCCCAGGGCTCCTGGAGGTGGAGACCATCAGCTCTTCTCCTTCCTCTGAAACCTCAGCTACCCTCTTCTTTTCGCAGGAGAACTTCCCTGAGGATCGTCCTTCTTCCCTTACTCTCCATCCTAGCCCAGTCCCTCCCGCCCGACACTCGGATCTCCAGAGACCTGCAGACTGTTGAAACCATTCCCGTGTCTCCTGGGGGCCTCCCACTCAGGAGGCTTGGTCACGCTCCGTCAGCCACTCGTCCCTTCTTGGAGGGCTTCACAGCTTTGCTCGCGGGGGGCCCAGGGCCACCATCTTGCACTACTCTAGGGGCCACCATCCACAAATGCTCTGTGAGTCCCTGGGCTGGCCTTCAACTTGCAATCCTCCTGCATCAGCCTCCCAAGCTTCTGGGCACGTCCTTTGCCTATTCTTAAGGTGGGACTTTGTCTATTTGTTAAGTTGTAAGAGTTCTTTATACATTCTAGATGCTAGGCCCTTCAGATGCTGCACATGCTGTACGAACATCCACTCCCATTCTTTTCACTTAACATGTCCTTTTGAATAAGAGTTTAAATTTTGATGAAGTCCAAGTCATCTATTTTTCCTTTGTTGATTATTTTTTTTGACATATTTAAGAAATCTGAATCAAAGTTGAGAAAGATACACTATTCTGTTTTCTTTTCAATTTTGACACATATCTAGGTAATTCATCCATTTTTGGATTTGATTCTTATATATGTCTTGTAGAAGAGGTCCAAATTCATTTTTTTTTAGCAGAGATTAACCCAGAGGCACATGCCACTGAGGTACATCTCCAGCCTTTTTTATTTTTTTAATATATATATTTTTTTAAATTTAAGGCTAGCCTTGGATTTTTTTTTTTTTTTGTACTGGGGATTGAACCCAGGGGTTCTTTAACACTGAACCACATGCCGAGCCCTTTTTATTTTTATTTTGAGATCGGGTCTTACTAAGTTTCTTAGGGCCTTGCTAAGTGACTGAGACTAGCTCGAACTTGTGATCCTCCTGCCTCAGCCTCCAGAGTCACTGAGATTACAAGTGTGTGCCACTGCACCTGGCTCCAATTTCATTTCTGTTTATGTGTCTGTCTAGTTGTCCCAGCACTATTTTTTAAAAGAGATTATATTTTCCATTTGTACCCTTATTGAAAATCAGTGATGGGTTTATTTCTGGATTCTCAGAATGAGAATATTTCTTTGAACATAGATTCAATAAAAAGTCCAAAAGAGCCATAGCATTTAAATGAGACTTCATTAGTCCTAGAATAAGACGTTAGACCTATCATAAGAAAAGCTAAAAATTAAAGAGACCTAAAAGACTAGCCTATCATGCAAATAACTTAACTGCTTTCAAGAAAAAAGACTGGTGCTCTCTAAAGGAATACAACAAAACCAAGCAGTCTGCCATAGCAAATTCCCAATGTGTGACATTCAGAGAGAAGAGAAACAGAAAAATACATTTACATAAGTACTGGGTTGAGTTTTCACAAATTTGATAAAAACTATAAATCCACAGATCCAAGATATTTGATTAATTCTAAACAGGATAACCTCTCTCTTCTGTCTCTCTCTTACACACACCTCCCCATACAGACACATCAAATAATTGAAATCAAATAATTGAACTCCAGTGACAAAGAGAAAATATTAAAACCAGTGAGAGAAAAATAGAAACTACAAACAAAGAAGTAGAGAAAAAATTAACTGGATGTAGTGGTGCACGCCTGTAATCCCAGCTACTCAGGAGACTGAAGCAGGAGGATCGCAAGTTCAAGGCTAGCCTCAGCGACCTAGTGAGACTCTCAAAATAAAACACAAGACGAGCTGGGGAAGTAGCTCTGTGCTAAGTCCTGACTTCAATGCTCAACACCACACACACATACACACACACAGAAAAAAAAAGATAAGAAAAAATTACAGCCGAATTCTCATAGGACATCACCCGAGTCAAAAGGATTCAAGGTATGAATGGAAAACCTGCTAGCCTAGTATTCCATATGGACTTAAATTCCAATGAAAATATCTTTCCATAGCAAATGTATGTGAACACACTCCCTGTGAAACGACAGCGGAGGGCACCTGTCGCGGCATACCTACGCTATAAGAAATAACACAAGACCTTTGGGCAAAAGGGAATCGACGTGTTAGAGACGTCTGGGTGTACCCAGTGAATGAAGAGCAACTAAAATGGTTACTACGTGGAAAAACAAACATAAAAGTTTATTGTTTATTTTCTAAATTACTATTTAAAACTTGATGGTTAAAAACGATATATTATGGAATTCATAAAAATAAGGACTTGAATCATGGGCTTATCAAAACCACATCAAAAGTATACAGTAGCAAAATTATATGTGGACTATAAAAACCCATATGTTATTTATTAAAAACCCCTCTATTTCCTCACTCCCCCTCCCGTTTCTTTATTTTACTTTGGCAGTGCTGGGGATCGAACCAGGGCCTGACCCAAAGGAGGCTGGTGCTCTGCCTCTGAGCTACACCCCCAGGCCTTCCCTCAGAACCATGAGGGAGATTCCTGTGGCCTGAGGTGAGGGTTAGGAGAGGCTGTCTCCCGAGAGGACACAGGGCCAAGTCACAGGTGAGCTCTGAGCTCTGGGCAGGGGTGTCTCGGGATCCTCTGCACCCATCAGGGCTCCACAGCTCTGCTTCCCTGGGAACCCCGGGACCTGTGGGAAACTGTTGTGAGACAGAGACTGGGATGTGGAGGGTTTGCTCTGGGAGAAGACAGGTGGAGACAGGTGGAGACAGGTGGAGACAGGTGGAGACAGGGGAAGACAGGTGGAGACAGG